CTAACATCAATCAGTTCTGTGGACAATCAAGCCAGCCGGCCCTTGCCCCAGGCTTTGAAACACGTGCCATCTAGGCCACTGAGGGTATGACCTGAAGGTCCCAAAGACCTGGAAAATGCTAGAGCAGGGGTGGAGAACCTGGGGTTGTGAGGTCACACGTGGCCTTCTAGATCCTCAAGTGTGGCCCTTTGAATCCAAACTTCCCAGAACAAATCCCCTTCATAAGAGGACTAGTTCTGTAAAACTTGGACTCAGTCAAAAGGCCGTACCTAAGGACCTAGAAGGCCACATGTGGCCTCGAGGTCACAGGTTCCCCACTCCTGTGCTAGAGCATCCCCTCCATGCACAACTAACAGGTCGTCATGATGTCATTATTTAGATGCTGAGAGGTATGGCGATAAAGCAGAGCACTGGACCTAGAAGCAGCGAGATGCGGGTGTCAGTCCTGTCTAAGATACTTAAGAGTTGCGTGATTCGAGGCAAGTCCCATAACCAACCTCTCTTGGCCTTGGTTTTCTCATCTGTCAAGAACAGGTTGGACTCAGTGACCTAGGATGCACTTCCAGCTCTAAATTGATGATCCAGCCATGAGCATTTCATGATCTCTTGGGGCACTGAGAGTCAGGTCACGTAAACATTGGATAGTACAAATGGCCCCACTGCCTGCCTTGACAGCAACTCTCACATTTGTCTTCACTCTGGCACTTAGCCACACTGAGCCTGGCACACCAGAGGGGCTCAATAAATACCTACTGAGTGACTCACGGGGCAGATCTGAGAAAGAAAACGAGGACTTCTTGCTCCTTAGCCCCTGAACTAATCATCGAGTCATATTTCCTGCTAATTTATTATTTGTGATGACAAAGATGCTCAGGTTCTCTGAATCCAGCGTCAGTGGTCTGTGGAGTCGGTAGATAGAATGCTGACCCTGGAGTCAGGAAGGCCTGAGTTCAAATTCAGCTCCAGACACTATTTAGTTGTGTGACCCTGGGCAAGTCCCTTAACCCATCTGCCTCGGTTTCCTCATCTATAAAATGGGGTTAATAATAACACTTAGCCCATTCTAGTCCATCTACCCCTCAGCCGTCCAACTGGTCTTCCAAAAGACAAGGTCTGACTACGTCATCCTCTTACCCAATAAACTCCATCACCGCTAGGATCAAAAATAAAATTCAGTTGGGCATCCTACATTTCCAGTCTTCTTACACCCTCCACACCCCCATGTATTCTGAGATCCAGTGACACTGGCCCCTCTGGTTCCTTGAATGAGACATTCCTCCCAACTCTGGGGTTTTTAATTGGCTATCTTCCACGTCTGGGATTTTCTCGCTCATCTCTGCCTCCTGGCTGCTCTAGCTTCCTTCAGTTCCCAGCTCAAACCCCCTCTTCTATGAGAAGCCTTTCCCCACTCTCCTCAATGCTGGCGCCTTCCCTCTGTGGATTCTCTTATTTAGCCTGTATTGTTTCCCAGCTTGTTGGGACACAATTGTTTATGTTGTCTCCTGCATCAGGCCGTGAGCTCCCAAGAGCAGGGGCTGTTTTTTTTCCTTCTTTATATCGCTGGCACAGGGCAAGTACTTAATAAATGTTTAACGGACTACTTCCCAGGCAGGTAATACGAGTAAAGTGCTTTGCAAACCTTGAAGTACTCTGTAAATGCCAGTGATGACCACTGTGCCTCATTGCCTCCATTTGCACTAAGGTTTGACAGGATCACAGTCATGCCTAAGAAACACTTTTCTCTTACTCTCAGGGCAGGGCTCCCGATTCCTACCTGTGATAAACTGATTCCCAGGAAAGCTGTGACACTACTCCTTGGCCAACTTCATTCCCTGACGAGTTTCATCAGGGCCTATGAACACAATTGCTATTGCATGCCCTTCTGGGGTAGCTAGGAAAATATGATGATTTTATTTTCAATTCCCCTGCAAATCTGAAGACACATTCAATTGAATTATTGAAGCTAAATCTCCTGCCTTGAACTTTATTTTTTCTTGATGACGGGAAGTCGATAGCGTGTAAACATTTCATTTAACACGGCTCTAAAATCCTCATACAGGCTGTATTCAGCACATAAGAACCCAGCAAAGACGATGAGATCATTTGTGGGACAAAACCACCCAGGTAATTTAGGAATTTGTTTCCTTCACTTCCAAAAGTGAAACCGGTCAAGTTTTTGAAAGTAAAACTGCCTCTCTCTGCTCTTCTCCCCTTACAAAATCCATTTCAATTTCATTTTGCATTTAATTGTTTAGGTAATGATTGGAAGCCTGCTACCAGAAGTTCCCTGTAGGGGTCACGGAAAATGCCGCTGCTTCCTGGCATCCCAAGTGAAGAGGCTTCCTTTCCTAAGAGCTCTCGGGTCCCTGGAGGGAAGCTCACAGCTCAAGCCAATTTCTAGGTTGGGAGTCCCGGGTGCATTTGTTTGGGAACTATGCCGAGCTCATAAAACTGAGAGGAGATATTATAACCTCTTCCTATCATGGATGGATATAAAACTTAAATAGCTCTGAGCAAAACAAATGGAGACTTAGGACTGGGTTTCCTTCTGGAATTGTTAGAGGTACTGACTCTTAAATTGCTCATGTTAACCCAAAACAGGCCCACCAGGGACTATTGTATATAATTTTGGAATGTATTATGTGAAAGGTGTCCAAGGAGATGACCTTTACTCCCTAAAAAAGAAACTGAATTTAACCATTAAATTTGCAAAAAAGGGAATCTCACACACCTAGTAAGGTGCTAGGCTCATAGTCAGCACTTAAATGATAACTGATTGATAACAGGTTGGTTCATTATAACATTCCCCTCCCCTCTCCCCAAGATTTGTACATACAAAAGCTGTATGCATTTTATATATACCTGTCATGTAGCGTAGTTAGGTTGTGCAGTAGGTAGAGCACTGGGCTTAGAAATAGGAAGACTCATGTTCATGAGCTCAAATCTAGCTTCAGACTTTTTTACTAGCTGCGTGACCCTGGGCAAGTCGCTTTACCCTGCTTGCCTCAGTTTCCTCATCTGTAAAATGAGCTGGAGAAGGAGACAGCAAACTACTCCAGTATCTTTGCCAAGGAAACCCCAAATGGGGCCACAAAGAGTCAGACACGACTGAAAAATGACTGAACAATAACAAACAATAACAAATCCGTTAAATGTTGTTTATTTCCAGCAGAAAGGAGGCTCCAGTAGGGTATCTTCAGTAACTACGAGTATGGTGCCTGGCATGCTGTTGTTTGGTTGTTCAGTCCTGTCTGACTCTTTGTGACTCTGTGGATCATAACACGCCATTGCTGTCCCTGAGGTTTTCTTGGCAAAGACACTGGAGAGGTTTACAATTTCCTTCTCCAGTGGATTAAGGCAAACAGAAGTTAAGTGACTTGCCCAGGGTCACATAGCTAGTAAGTGGCTAAGGCTGGATTTGAACTCAGGTCTTATTAACTCCAGACCCACGCTCTATACACTGAGTCATCTAGCTGCCTACTATGTGCCTAGTACATAGTAGGTATTTAATACATACTTGGTGAATTAAACCAAAGTCAGCCTTTTTAAGCTTGAGTTCCTCAAAGGCATGGGAATAGGAGAATGAAGGCTTGGCAGATGAGGGAGTCTAATGGCAGTGGGATGTTCTGATGGATTCTCTAGGAATTCCTCAGCTTCTTTAATGTTGTGCACAGTCGGAGTTGTTTATTTGATTTCAAACAGAAGAAATGCTCAACACAGAGCGGTATGTCACGCTATCTCCAAGGCCGGCGACTAGTGTCTATAAAATGGTTCAAATAGCAATTGTAAGTTATGACAGAATCTGAGATACCAGAAAAAGCATAAACAAACACCTTTTCTTGATCCTAACGGTGGAATCCTGTATTGTGTTCTCCATTTCATTTACATATTCTCCTTTTGTTCAGACTTTGGTGTTCTAAAGGGGAGAAGAGACCTCAAAAATAAGAAGACAAATGGAAGATATGCATATTAACATGAGGAACAGTGCAGGCATTTTAATAGTAAAACGGAATTCCAATATTTAAATATATGCTTATCAACTCCCTTTCTGAATATGAGGAAACATCCGTCTCTAATATTAGATATTAAAATTTGTGCCATTTAGGAAGGAAATGTCAGAAAACAAGTGACATTCAAATTTTGAGAAATGAATAACTTAGGCCTATAAATTCAATGATTTAACTGTAGTGCTTTCAACAATTCTTGTGAACACCAATAATGATAATAATAGCTCACATTCTTATGGGACTTTAAGATTCCTAAAGCAACCCTTTGAGATAGGAAATAGGAGTATTATTTATCCCTATTTTCAAGGCGGGGAACTGAAGGTCAGAGAAGTTGTGACAGGCCCCGCAGTCACCCAGCTAGCAAGGACTTAGACCCCACCCTTCTATTATCCATTGCACAAAAGCGTCTCCCTGAGGAACCCAGAACCTGGGATCACTAATGGCAGGAAACGGGGACTTTCCAATGGGCCAGGCAGCACAAAGGATGTTAAGGTAGCAGCATTTGGTCCATGTTTTCCACACTACAACACCCACATATTTCCTCGGTAGGACTGAGCTCTCCTCCGCTAGCGGCCTGTCTAAAATTAGCCTGAAGGTCAAAGCTGGACAGAAACACTCTGGCTGCTGCTGAGTAAGCCCACAGGGATGCTCAACTGAGCTCATTTTTTCCTCTAGAATAAAAAAATCGAGGGAAAGCAGCTGCCATGGGAACTTGAGGAGCAGACCCAAGCCCAGAAGGGCTCCATGCACTGAGGGACGGGCTCGACTTTCACTGGGACGTGATTCTGGGAGTCAAGGCTTTTGACTGCGGCGTAAAAGATGGGTGTGCCGGATGATGCTTGTGCAAAAGAAATTCTCGGCTCGTCTGTAAAATGCCGTGAAAGCTCTGCGATTCCAAGGATGCTTCACCCCATATCTGAATCAGGCCGGCTTTGCCATGCCTGCCCTGCCCCGACACACTGACAGAAAGCAACACTGCCGTGTCACCCCAAGTGCGCGCATCCGCCACAGTGTTTATTGAGTGCTCTCATAATACAAGTGTACATCAACTGTTCCACAGTCAAAAGTGGCAGGTCCCTAAGAAATTTACAAGCACTTTAAGTAAATCAAAATACATATTATTTTGTTCAACCCAACAGCCTTTTGTGTGGGAGACAGAAGGCTAGTGATAAACAGAGTCTCAGTAATGCACAGTGATTCTTGAATTTAAGCCTTTATACAAAACTTGTTCCCAGTAGCATGCACCCGCCATTAAAGACTTCAGTACAAAAAAATTAACCCTAAACACTACATTGAAGTAGAAACGAGATATAATTCTGAATTTGTTTTGTTTTCCCAAAGACCACATAAAAGGAAAAAAAAAAACCACACATGAATACAAAGCTTTGTGACAAAGCTCTATACTATTACCGATCCAACATTCTTTGCACTGAAATAAAACAAACAAAAAAACAAACCAAAACCAAAAAAATTCCCGTCTACTTGGAGGGGAAATATCTTTCAAGTTAACAGAACTGAAAAAAAGGGGGGGGGGAATAAAATAAAAATAATAAAAAGAAAGAAAGGACAACATATTGTCACAAAATGGTTCAAAATGTCATAAAAATAAGACCACAAAGGAGGGAAGGGCTATTGATGCACTTGGTGAATGTGCTTGTGGAGAGGTCGGTCCAGAAGCCGCGGCGGGAGGTTCCTATGTCGCATATCTCTTGGTCCACTGCCTGGCCATTCTGTCGTGTTCTGCTCTGTTGGTCATGTACTGAGTGGCGATACTTCCCACCAGGGGGTCAGCTGGAAGGAAAACAGAGTCATGAAGTCGTTACGGGCACATTCTTCTACCTATTACAGCCAAGCAAGGTGGCAGGAAATGAAGCGCAATTTAAGGAGCGATGGGACCAGGACAGCTGGGGTCCGTGTTGCCAGAAGAAATGGAGTTTTACGCATGCTTGATGGTGTGGAAATGACAAATGAAATGAAAGGCAGCCTGTGCTTTGGAAACAGACCTATCAATGATTACCTAGACTCACAAGGTCAAATGCCCTCCTTTTTAGCAGATATTTTAATGAAGAAATTGGGGGGAAGGAGAGAGGAATTGGTAGGGTAGATCAGTGGTTGAGGGGTGGCGTTTTGGGGATAAAAAAAATCACTGATGGAGGGAATCTGGGAATTACAGTAATTCTACAGAGGCCTCTCAAAGCCAAGCCAGCAGAGTTATGTTGATTTGGGGGAGCCTTGTAAACACTTCTCCAAATGTTCTGATAATGTCCTTAGGGCAGCTTCTCCTTATAATCCAAATAGCCAGGGGGGTGAGATTAGAATATCACCTAGAGAAGGAACCTCAGGAATCCTCTCATTCCACCCCTTCCAAGATGAGGAAATTGGAGCTCATAGGTGGGTGTTGTGACTTGCCCAGGGTCACCCAGTTAGCAAGAAGCAGAGCTGAGATTTGAACCCAGGTCCTCTGACTTCCAAATTCAACTCCCTCCAATGGTCCTGCCATGGTGTCATTATACACTTACTGCTATACTCAGGGCATGAAATTAATTCTGCCCTAAAATGTGGGGGAGGAAGTGAAATACAAGGAAATGTATTTCTTTGATGAGGAGGACATTATTACTGAAATCTAGCAGGTGAAGTAAGAGGTGAGCGCCAGCTGCTAGGAAAGGTAACCCTTTGCAGTGATGCAATTAATAACCCCCAGATTAAAGTATGTCTCACATATCTGATGTAAATTCCCTTTTTGCTTTTGTCTTTGTATTCTCAGTGCACAGAAGAATAAACATAGTAGGTACTCAAGACACTTTTTTTTTTAAGGCAATCAGGGTTAAGTGACTTGCCAGGGTCACATAGTAAGTGTCTGAGACTAGATTTGAACTCAGGTCCTCCTGACTCCAGGGCCAGTGCTGTTTCCACTGTGCCACCTAGCTCCCCCTTCAAGACACTATTAATAATGGCCATTTTATTTTATTTATATAGTAATTATATAGCATTTTAGTATTAAATACTATCAAATAGTATTTATATAGCATTACATGGTTTGCAAAATGCTTTGAAGAGATTTTTCTCATTTGATCCTCATAACAACTCTGTGAGGTAGGTGCTATTATTATTATTTTATAGATGAGGAAACTGAAGCTGAGAGAGAATAATCCAGGGTCACACAGCTAGTAAATGTCAGAAGCAAGATTTGAACCCATGACCTCCTGACTGCAGGTCTAGTACTCTATTACATTGAGTTACTCTGAGAGGTAAGAGAAGTGACATTACTTTGCCCAGAACTAGTGAGTGCCTTCCTGGCAAAGTCTGGAAAGATTTTAAGGCAGACATTTTCATCCTTAGAGCTGTGTGATGGCCAAACACCACTGAGCTCGTTTGCAAAGGCCAGCTGTCTCCTGTGCAGACCTAACCGGGTTCTGGCCCAAGCAGAAAAGACTCAGGGAGATTCTGCAGGAGACATGAGTGTTGCTCTGCTGGGTGCCCCGGAGGCTGAACCAGGATGCAGGGGGGTGGATGATAGGGAAAACCCACTTCCTACCATTTTGAGCTGTCCCAGTGTGGAAGGGGGTCCCTGGAGGTGTTGGGCTCACCTCTACTGGGGGTTGTTTAGGCAAACGCTGGACGAGCACTCAGTGGGAATAGTGTCAAGGGAATTCTTGCTCGAGTACAGGTGGGACTACCGTGATGCCCTTCAGCTCTGAGACGTGGGGATTCTGTAAGTCTGGACTGCCTTCCCACTCAGGCTTTGCCCTGAAGGCAAGTTGTGGGCTCTCACCGCCTAGCAGCGTGCCCCTCCACAAGGTGGTTGGCTGCTTTTCTTCATTGCCCAGTCTCTTTGGGTGACCCTTCTCTCCTGCCCCCGATGCCCTCTCTCCTCTCCTCCCCTTGGTCCCCACTCAGGAGAAGCCAGGAACATCTAGTGCTGACATACAATACCTGAGACGTGGCCTGGGCCCACTAGAATACACCCTTTCGATTTGGACTTAGTCCCTAGGATGACTTCACCAAGTCTGCAAAGCCTCCACACCCTCCGTGCACAGCTCCTCTGGGCCGTGGCAGCAGGCCACACCAGACACACCCTCTCCACTGCCTCCTAGTCCAGGATCCCACTGGAACTGATCAGACGAGTCATGGAAAGATCTGAATCAGGGGCCTCCACCCAGAGGAAGCCATGTGCTGTCACAGGGCCACAATCCTGAGCTGGGAGGGGTCTCAGAGACCATCCTGTCCAGCTCCCTCACAGTACAGATTGCACAGTCTAACTTCCAAAGCCTGGTATCACAGCTGAGTACCTCCCATGAATGGTCAGCTAATGCAGAGACAACCAGAATCGGTACTTTGGATTACCAATGATCCCTAAGAACAAACACATGGAAAATCCCCCTTTACCTCGGGCTTCAGAGGCTGACTGGTCTAATCAATACCCCAGAGAATCCCTCCACAGATCCATAAATGTCACCCAGACTCTGCTCAAAGACCTCCATGCAAGGGGTGAATCCATCACGTCCTGAGAAGGTCACGAAGGACGCGTCCACCCCACCGCCAGATGCGCTAGTTGTCAGCAAGACTTTTTTTATGTCAGTCCCCCCGTGTGTGTGTATGTATATGTATGTGTGACACACACACACATATATACACAGAGACATATGTGTATGTGTGTATGTATGGTAGAAAAGGAGTATATATATCATGTATCTACATAAGGGAACATATAAATTATATATATGAATATATAAGTAATTTATATAGAAAAATGAATGTGTATATATGTATATCCATTTACACACACACCTCACTTTTGAACATTCATACATCTGGGATACATTCCCTGCCCTCCCCCCCCACGTCCTCCTCCACGCCTCCCCCCACCCCACGACGTCCCCCTCCGCGTCCCCCTCTATTCCACAGGTAATATCTAGCTTCCATCCAAGCACCGCTCCGTTGCCCTCTCCTATAGAAGAAGTGCCCTGATTCCCCTCGGCATGAGCACTCTGCTCCTGCAATGACTCAGACTGGCTCTCATGCTCAGACCCTATGACCCTATGACTCCTGCACTCGTGGTTCCTTCTCAGAAGGTAAGCAAGCTCCATGAGAGCAGGGAATACTTCATGTTCATCGCTGTGTCCTCAGACCCTAACAGGGTGCCTGGCACACACGAGATATTTCTTTGATGTTGTTACCTGTTGAACTGAACTGAATTATTAAGGACATGTATCTGGAAAAGGAGGCAGCAGTCAAATAGTGAGACTGATTGACAGCAGATGGAGAAGTCCAGCCGCATGTTGGACCCCTCCCCTCCCCCCCAGAACCCAAAGAACAGAAGGATTCCCTCCAGAGCGCTCAGTTGCCTCCCGAGGGTATATATTAGGAGACACAGGCAAGAATCTTAGAGGATGAGATAGTGCGGGAGGATGGCAATCATAGGTGGGGAGTCGTGCCAATGAAATCACAGATCTATCAAGAAGCCAAAGTGAGTAATGAAACATCTATGATCACTAGACGTAAACTGCTGCTTCATTCAGACACTTCAGAGCCAACAGAATCTGACAGCTGAGAAACTCTCTGTATAAAATAATTCTCATCAAAAAAACCCCACGGTACAAAATCATGCGACGACCCAGGCTGAAAAGACATTTGGTTAAATCAGTCCACGGCCCAGTGTGCTCATTTCATAGTCTCGGTGAACAGTCTTCTATTTGCCCAAGAAGAAATCTTCCTGGGATCTCAGTCAGTCCAGAGTTTTTCTTGAATTCTTGGATCTGTGTGTGAGGCCCAGTGTTAGGCACTGGGGATACCAAACTGAACGTGAGCTAGCTTCTATTTTTGAGGAGCTAACATTCAACTGGGGGAAACAATGTGTAGCATACTTACTGGTAAATATTTTACAAGCATATAATCAGTGAATTTGATATAAAATGTTAATAAGAAAATGGTTTTTAGTCCATATATCCAGCAAAGTGCCTTGCTTATAATACTTACTAACAAAAGGTTTGATTTTCCATCTGCAATACAAAGCTCAAAACAATGGTTCAGTCTTGCTAGGAGGAGGAAAACTCAAAAAGTTCTCAAGTGGGAAATAGCAGTTAGCGAAGCTTTGAATCGCCAAACCAGCATTTTCCAAGTTTTTGGCAAGTTTTGTGACATGATTGAATTTTAGATTGATTTTTATTCAGAGTAACTGACAAACAGATCTTTCGTGGTCTCAGCAGTGGTACGGGTAGACACTGATAAAAATGTTTCTGTGCCTCTGAAGAGGAAAGATGGCAACCTCCTGGGGAAAAAGCAGACAAACAGCAGGCGCTAAAGAGAAGCCAAGGAGGATGCAAGTGGGAGAAAGGCCATGGGGTTTAGTAGCTAGGAGGTGACTGGAAATATGTGGGAGGGTAATTTGAATAGACTGGTGTGTGGTGAAAGCCACATTACAAAGGGTGAAGGGAAGGGGATATGTTGTGAGGAAGGGAGGAAAGAGATGGAGTGGTTACTGGATGGGGTAGGAGGGTCAAAGGGAGAAGTGGTATTTCAGGGCTGGGGAGCCTCAATCCTGTCTGTCGGCACATCTGAAGACATCACTGGTGAGGAAGAGACTAAAGATTTATGTATCAGTGAAGGGGGGGAGAATGGAAGGGATGGAAAGAGGGAGACAGGAAAAGAGGAAGAAGGGGAGAGAGGGAGAGAGATACTGGAGGAGGCAGAAGGAAGGGTGCAGAGCATTGGCTCTAGTGAGGAGCAGGGATGCCTCTTGTGAGGTCAGAGGAAAGGAGCAGAAAGGAAGAAACTTTGAAAAACAGAGGGGA